CTGTTGCCCCATTACTAATGATGACGCTCGATCTCAAGGGCTCTTAAAATACCCTTTCCTGGCAGGCTTGGCGGTGCTCACCCTGTTTTGCTGAAGGGAAATGATTTGTTCGACATCAAGCTGCGTATCCCTGGGGTTTACTGCTAACCTCTCAGTCCTGAGTCTTAGGTGTGTGTATCTGCCCCAAGGTCGGTTGTCACTTCCATCAGTGTCCTCTGCTCCAGACACTTGATGAATTGGTTTCATTGCCCTTCAGCTGAACCAACCAAGGACATTAATTTGAAATATCTGTGAGCTATGCATTTGTCAAAAGATACTTCCAGTCACACAGGCTGCAGTGATGACATTTCTGCCCCGAGCTGACTGATTTGGTTGTTTATTCTTTGAACATTCACATGCCGTGGGTCAAGGACAATGTGATCTGTGACCTTAAAATGCTTATCTTCCAAAGATAACATATTAGCGACTCTACACACGCACAAACACACACCCCTTTCTTTCGAATATGAACTAATAATAAACACTGTATCGCACAGCAGTTTGCTAGGCACTTGTACGTGTGAACTCTGACTTGATCCTCACAATTGTATCCTGAAATGAATGTTCCTGGATTTTTAGAGAGGAAAATGAAACTTGGAAATGTCAGCCCTGATGTAGTTGTTTACTCATGGTTTCATTTTACCTACTTCATTTATAAAATATTGTGGAATTCTAAAATCACATCAACGTCATCAATTTTAACAAAATTTAAGAAAGCAGAATAAAATCAGAGACAGAAAGGAGCTAGCGTAGATGGAGTATGTTAGTGTGTGGTCATGCAGGCTGAATTGCCCCCCGCTCCCCAGTTCCCAGCATTATGTCATAAATTGGATCTGAGTTTCCTGGAAACCTAAATAAAAATGAAAAGAAACCATGTAAAAGATTCACATCATCTATGAGGATCAAGCACCTTGGTTGTTCAGAAGCAAGAGCGCTTGCCCTGACGACTGAAATACCGTTGTTAGGTATTCACTGAGTGTGCGTTTCTCACTCATGGCCACAGAGCAGGCTCAATGGGGAGCCTGAGAAATGCCCATGCCTGGGCCCCACTCCAAACCCACTAAACAGCATTTCTGGGGAGAAGTGCCTGGGTATCAGCATATTTTCTTTACAACTCCCCAGACGATCCCAATGTGTAGCCAGGATTTAAAAGCCCAGACAGTGAGTTCCCAGTCACTCACAGAGGAGCATCCCAAGTAGATTTCTGCAATAAATCCCAGAGAGGGTTCTCTGAGTCCCAAGATGTTCTGCTGGCGTGGTGGAATAGTAGGGCACAGTTTGGAAGCTGATCTGGACTTAGACTAGATCTTCCAGCTAGTGTCTCTGATGTTTTCCTTGGGAATGGGAACGAGGGAAGGGGTTGAGTTTTAGAACACGAAACTTACAAAAGTTGAATATTATTTCCACAAATGGAACTGTGAGTCAAGTGTAGGTAATTTGGTGGCTACGGTGTGGAAAATGGTTTCAGGAACACAACCTCAATGAATAGGGAGCCAGTGGGAGGTTGACTCAGACTCTAAGCACCCACGGTGGTCCGTGATGTCACCTAAAGGGTTGGGGAAACTGCAAACAGGTATTTTATATGTCTCCACCTGCTACCTGTTTGTGACTCATGATTAGGAGAGGCATGGATGATTTCTCCCTTTACCTGATATATTGGGCATTTCATCAAGCACACAGAGAAACTAATTCCCTGTCTAGAGGGCTTGCAATCTTACTGTTCCACTGTGCAAGGCTCCCAGAAGTTCGCATCTCATTCAGCGCCTGCAAAGAACATACTAAGGGAATGAAAAGGTGCCAGCCTCAAGAAAACTGCAGACATTTAAAAGATCATCGTAGGTGATTTAAAAAAAAAATTGCACCAAGCATTTCTATGAAATCACCTGGTACTAGGGAATGTTTCTACAAGTAAGAACACTGGAAGCTTGTCATTCAGTGCTTTGCAAGTTTTCAAGTGCTCACATAGGCAACATTACGTTTGATCTCCCAGGTTCACAAGAGTATCCGTAGAAAGTGGAGTGCCATATTTTCCAACAGTGAGACAAGAAAAAGGAAATTTCTTTCAGGCGCAGTTTTCCAAGCCTGCCTGAAAATCAGAATCACCTGGGGCACTTGTCAAATATCCAGGCCCTTCAGGAAATCCTGGCTCACCAGTGCTCAGTTGGGCTTGAAAATCTGGTTTAGTTTTTCCTTTTTATTAAAATTATTGTTTAGGTTTTTCTCATCCTTAGGCAAATTTAGGATAACTGCATTTGAAGGAATTCTGGATAAGGGGTTAGTCAAAAAACAGCAAGAATCTTGGGGAAGAGTTTCTCTGGGTTTGAACTCTGAAGGATCCTGGCTTAAGGATTGCCCCAGACACTCAGTAGCTTTCTGCAAATTGTTTAAACTCATTTTGTTTCCAAATTCCACAAAATGGGAATTATTTTACCATCAGAGAGTTAGTATCAGAAAAGGTAACTAATGTACATTTTAATGTCTATAGCGAATATGGTGCTTAGAACAGAGTAATTATGTGACGGGCAGCAGTGACTATTACTAATGACCAAGTGGTCAAATTGTGAATCCCCGCTCTGAATAAAAAAACCTGAACCCAGCCTCCATCCTAAAGCAATGGTTCTCAACTGAGGGCAATTTTGCTCCTAGGGAATATTTATCGTTGTCAGAGGTCCAGAGGACATTTTTGATGATCACGACAGGGGAAGTGCTACTGACACCTAGTGGTCGAGGCCAGGAATGCAGCTAAACATCCTACTATGCCCGGAACAGCCTACTCCTGTGGCCCAGGTGTGCTGCTGCTGAGAAACCCTATCCTAAAGGGACAAACAGACAAGGACAGCGTTTCGTGAGCAGAGGGATAAATGCTTTGAGTCCATAGCGTCCTCGTGTAAATGCAGATTCAGTTGAACCCAGAGGCACTTGTCGTGGATCAGAAGGGGCTCTGGACAATGTCAGAAGCATGGATCTGCATCCTGGTAGTACCCCTGATCAGGGCTGACTGTAGGATATGGTATGAATCAGACCCCCTGGAGTTGTGCAATAAGGCAGCCCTGGACCTGACCCAGAGCATCACTTTGGGCAAATCTTTTCAACTCGGGTGTCGGAGACACCTCATTCTCCCAATGGTCATTAGACCCACCTGGGGAACTTGTTGACAGGCAAACTTCTAGCTCTGTTCCCTGGATATTTCACTTTAGGAGACTCAGGAAAGGGCCCTGGAGGCCATATTTATAAAATTTTCCTCAGGGACTTTGAAATCATGGTCATAGCCAGGTTTGGGCTCTCTGATTTCCCTGCCAACTCTGATATTCAGGGCACATACAAGACCTGGACAAGGGACGTGAAGTTCTGCCAGATATAGCTTGTCTCACCTCATGCACATTAACCTTTTTTGTGGCTCTGAGGTATTTGGATTCATTTTGTGTTTTCTATTTTTACTATTAGTCCTCCTCCCACTATTAACACCACTCTCCCCACTACGGCCAATAATAATAATAATGATAATAAACACAGAATGTCAAGCGTAGTACCCTGTTCTTTAAGACTAAAATGAAGCTGTCTCAAGCACTATCCTGGGGGTGATTCTCCACATCTCACCAGTGACTCGGGTTCACTTCCAGCCCCAAGTTCCTGCTTCCTCAGATGTAGATCAATCCACGGGTCATCTTGTTATCTTTTACCCAGGACTGTGGTGACTCACGCAGTTTCTCAATGAACACAACCTCCATAGACCCCAGGCCTGTCTGTGCCAAGTAGACTTTACAAAAAGATTGCATAGGGTCAGGGGACTTGTAACACGAATAACCATAAATCATGTGTATCTTCTGTTTAAGAATTCTCTCTGTACCTCTGCCGGGCTCAGACTCCAGGCGTCTGCCATGTTGCTGGCTTCCGAAATCCAGGCCTCTTTTGCCCCACTGTGGATGGCAAAATAAAGAAAGAAATGAATGAATGAGTAAATAATCTTTGTATACATGTATATATGTAAGATATATATGTATCTATGTGAATGTGTTTTGATATGTGCATGTCTGTGTCTATATAATATGTATGTGAACATACGTGTGTATACACTCACACACACACACTTACTTACACATTTATGTAAATGTTCTTTTGCACAACAACTCAGCCCTCCCTTCATTTTGCTATCCTTCCTGATCCTCACTCCGGGGTCTGCCTTTTCACTCCCTCATGGCCCACAAAACCATTTGTATGAACAGAGATAGATAATCCGTTTCCCAGTGGGTGTTCTGATGCCAGCAACAGGGAGCTCACAGACCCCGATAACCCAGCGTTTTTGTAACCTCCTGCACACTCTCACATACCAAGGTCCCTTTCATCCTCACCAGAACGCGTGGAGGTCACTGTGTGATTTCCCTCCTTGTGCAGATGAAGACTTGAGCTTCCAAAGACTCACGTTAATTGTGTGAGGTCCAGCAGAGTGTAAAGGCTATAGGGACAACCCCTACCCCCACCGCTGCCCATGCCCGATTCCTCGATTCTAAACTGAGAACTTTCCCATCCACAACAGCAGATCTTTACCCCGAACGCACATGAACATCATCTGGGGGACTTTAAAAATACTGATGCCAGGGTTCCGCCCTAGTACAATGAAGACAGAATCTGGGGGTGGTGCGTGGGCAATTGTATATTGTATATTTAGATCCACTCCCTGGTGGATCTAAAGTGCGGCCCTCCTCCATGGTGTGTTGGTCCCTAACATACCAACCTACCAACCAGGAGACCGAGAGCCATCATGCACACAGAAGTAAAGGCCGAGTTCCTGGCTCTTCTGGGCCACGGGATGCATGATGTTCCCATGAGCTCACCCAGCCTTCTCCCAAATGTTTTCAGACCCAAACATTTGGATCATTTGATAGTGTTTCAGATGAGCATTTCCCATCCAACAGGTCTGTCCATGATCCTGCTCTTCCTTACCCCTCTTTTCCTCTTTCCAGGCACAAAGAAGCGCTCTCATGGCTCACCAGCCCCAAGCACTAGCTCCACAAGTCGCCTCACCTTGCCAGGTGGGTAAATGGCACCACACCATAATCATAGCAATCACAGGGAACAGAGAGGACTGGTTTCTCTGATGGACGGGGACTCCGGTCCCTTATCTCTCTAGTCCACCCCACGTTATCAGAGAGATTTTGCCTCTGTCATCAACATTTGTAATATTCTTTCAGGGATGAACATAAGGTACCCATATGTGGCTCATAATCTTTCCTGCTCATTGATGGAAAGAGTAGAATCTTGTTCTTTCTGGATGTTCGTCTGGACATGCTATAGAAGAACTTCTTTGAGAGGCAGATGGTACAGGGGAGGGAGTATTAGCCTTTGTGAGAGACTTGGGTTCAAATCCCGGCTTTGCCTTGTTCACATTGTGCAAGCTCACTACACTTACTCAGCTTCTCGGACCTCTGCTTCTCATCCGTCTGCGTGACAATAAGGATTAGAAGTAATGCTTGTAAATTTAGCATAGTACTGACTTGTGTCTAATCTCTACTACTGAGAAATATGGAAGTAATGTATGGTCTGTATTGGGTATCAGCTGACATTTACCAGAAATTCTTAAGCATTCATGATGATCCTGTGTATTTACTATTTAATATGAAGGGCACCTGTTGGTCATTTCATCTCCAGGTATAGGCTTATTTTCTCTACCATAATTTAGTGTTTACAAGTAAAACTTGGAAGAACACATTTGTTTTGGAGGAAGGAGAGGTCATAAATAGAGACACTGGCAAATTTGAAAAATAGCAAAAATTCTAAGAAGGATAAATGTTAATAATGCTAGCAATTGGAAGACACATTTGTTTAGGAGGAAGGAGAGGTCATAAATAGAGACAGTGGCAAATTTGAAAAATAACAAACATTATAAGAAGGAAAAATGTTAGTAATGCTAGCAAGTGGAGCTAACCAAAATTGCCTGTCCTTCCAGTCTTTATTAAATACTTTTTTTCCTAGATTGGAATCTTATTCTACATAGAATTTTGTTTCCTCCTTTTTAAAACTTACTATTACATTATAGTTTCCCTGTGTTATTAAATATTAAGTAATATTTCAGAGACTAACATTTTGTATTATACCACAATTTATTTATATATTCATTGATAAATTTGGCCTTTATGTAGCTTATATTTTTGTTATTATAAATAACCTTATATTCCTGTACAAAAATCTTCTTCTGTGTCAGTAAGTATGGATTTGGGATAGATTCCTATAGGGAGGATTACTAGCTCAAAGAATTTATATGTGTTTAGACACATTATTGTCAAAGTGATTTCCAGGAAGGTAGTATTATTTTATACTTTTAGTGGTGAGTTTGCCTTTCACTATGCTCTTGCTAATGCTAACATTAATACTTTACCAATCTGATAAGAGAAAAAATTATATTCCTATGCAGTGTGCATTCATTTTACCATTTGAAACAAAGAATCTCTTTTCTAATGTTAATTTGTCATTTTGCATTTCTTCTTTTGGGAATTGCTGAATTTCCTCCATTCTGAGAGGGATGGTGCCTTGCATTTTAGTCCCTCAGCAGTAGGAATGTCTTGCAAGCCATGTTGTGATATAACTGAATGAGCAGCATTGTTTTCTTGGCTGTACATGAAATAATACTTCACTTTACAATCAGTGGTTAGATGAAATATAATCTTTATTTGTTTGCTTTTTCAACTTCCACTTCTGTAGCTCCCCTACCGTAGTCCAAAAACTGGACTCCGTGTCCACTGAGTAGCCCTTGAGCTTTCTTGCCACTGTCACTCTACCTGGAATACTCCTTACCCTTTTCTTTTTCTGGATAATTTCTCTTTCTGGTCTTTCCAAATCATCTGGGTAGAATTAGTAGTGACATATAATGATTCGCTTGTAAATCTCTTTATCCATTTACAGGTGGCTTTTCCAAGGGTGGGACTGTCTTTTTTTTTTTTTTTTTCCCCCAGTGCCTGTCAAGGTGACAAGCATGCATTGGTTGCTCATTAGTGTCTATATGACTAGGTATGTGGGTGTGTGAGTGAGAACTACCCAATTTCATTTATGACTGTATAGAAGGTAAACACCTTCAGAAAAGACTCTTTCAAACTTGGAGATGTACTAACTATACTAACTTGCTTTTTAGTATTGATAGGACCTTGCTCTGTGGTCTCTGGAAGCCTCTTTCATCTTGTTCCTGCTTGTGGTTTTGGTGTTTTTAGGACTAGAAACATTAGGAGGAAAACAGCTCCAAACCAAACAAATGCAGTGTGTTTTGATGGTGTTTGTTTTTCTCTGTAAGGTTATAACATTCCTGGGTCACATGGCACCTCTGACATCATTCTGGACAGCTGATCTTGTTCTCACTGGCTGTGCTGGGGGCCTGTCGTTGGCCTGCTAGTTTTCTAAGGCTTATGAGTCAGAGTTGCTGCCATCTTGTCTTTGGCCTTAGTGCGTCAATTGAAACTGATCCTAAGTTGGGTGTCTTAGGCACTGAATCTGACCATTCCAAACCCTGCAGAAGTGGAGTGGGTAGTTCTCAAAGCACGTGACATAATTAACTGTGCTTTGTCTAGCAGACACTCTTCACAACACTCATTACAATGGCCAGCTTGCTACTTCTTCCTACCTCAGGAATACCATGTTGCCTCCGCTGACTCAAATGCTTCTACCACAAACTCTTGGTGTAGGCTGTCAAGCAATTTAAAATATCATGTTTAAGGATAGTCAAAGAGCCAAACAGAGGGATACTAACCCTTGAAAAACAATACAATAAAATTATTCAGAAAAAAAAACGCAAGAACAGAGATATGCAAAAGAAGTCATTCGAAATCTGAAATTTCAAAAAGCTAACAGGCATATAATCACTGGAACTTAGAAAAAGAAAGGAAAAACAATGTGAAACACAGCCGAAAAGAGAATTAATGTTGTCCTTAGGACTTAAGAGCAGGGAACCAAGACAGGGAACCATATCAAAAAATGAAAGAGCATGAACCATAAGACTTTTTAGAAGATTATACAGAGATAAATGTTTATGACCTTGGATTAGACAGTGACTTCTTAGATATGACGCCTGAAACTCAAATGAAAAATATATAACACAACTTCATTAAAGATAAAAATTCTGTGTTTCAAGGGACACTATTAAGAAAGTGGAAAAGAAGTCCACAGAATGGAAGAATATATTTGAAAATCATGTATCTGATAAGGATCTAGTATCCAGAATATGTAAAGAATGTTTATAAATCAACAATAAAAAGATAAATAACCCAATTGAAAAGAGGAATGAGGATTTAAATAAACATATTTCCAAAAAAGATACAAATGGAACATGAAAAGATACTCAACATCATTAGTCATTAGGGAAATGCAAATCAAAACCATAATGACATGCTACTGTACATGTACTAGAATTGAGACAATAATAGCAAGTGTGACGATGATATGGAGAAATTACTAGCCTTGTACATTGCTCCTGGGGATGTAAAATGGTGCAGCAACTTTGGAAAAGAGTTTTGTAGTTTCTCAAGAAGTTAAACATGCAGTGACCAAATGACACAGCAATTCTGCTCCTAGGTATATTCCTAAGAGAATTGAAAAGATATGTTTACAAAAAATACTTATCTGCAGATATTCAAAGCAGTATTCATAATAGCTAAAAAAGTGGAGAGAAACTAAATGTCTACCAAGTGATGAATATATAAACCAAATGTGCTAATCTATACAATAGCTTTTTTAAAAAGATTTTATTTATTTATGTGAGAGAGAGAGAGCACAAGCTGGGAGGAAGGCAAAGGGAGCGGGTGGGGCAGACTCCCTACTGAGCAGGAAGCCTAATGTGAGGCTCCATCTCAGGACCCTGAGACCATGACCTGAGCTGAAGGCAGATGCTTAACTGAATGAGCCACCCAGGCGCCCCCATACAATAGATTATTATCTATTACCTATCTAAAGGACTGAAGTATTGATACATTCTACAACATGGATGAACCATGAAAACATTTGCTAAGTGAAAGAAGCCAGGCACAAAAGGCTGCATATTTTATGATTCATTTATGTGAAATATACAGAATAGGCTTACCTAAAAGAGAAAATAGATTAAAAGCTTGAGGAGAGAGAAGAATGAAGAGTGAATTCTCATGGGTATGGGATTTCTTTTCGTAGTGATGGAAATGTTTTGGAATTAGATATTGGTGATGGCTGCACAACCCTGTGAGTATGGTAATTGAACTGTACATTTCAAGTGATGAATTTTATGGTGTGTGAATTATATCTCAATAAAAAATGAAAGAGCATGGAAGATAGATAAATGGCTCTAAAGACTCACCTTAGGTGGAAAACGCAGCTCAGCTGCCATGCCTAAATAAAACCAAATGCATATCTAATGTTATTGTGTGAGGTTGCCAAAAATTAACTCAAAAATGAGAAATTCTTTAATGTCATGAGAAGCTGGTTATATTCAAGCAGGTCACTTAAAATAAAGTGACAACCAAATAATGGCAAAATTTGCATTGGTAATAGTAGATGCCAGAAGATAATGAAAATGTATCTACCATGTGTTGAGGGAAAGTAAACCAACATATAATAACTAAAACAGTTCAATTATTAATTATGAGTGAAGGCAAAGTAAAAACATTTTCAGGTTTACAATGACATGGTTTACCAACTGCAGACTTCATTAAAAGTAAGATTAAGGGGTATACATTAAAAAATAAACAACAAAGCAAAGTGTATCTTCTTGCATCTTGAGATACAAGAATAAATGGCATATATACAAGTAAATAAAACATTTTGGTAAATTTGAGCAAATAGTTATAAAAAATAATGTCCAATTTCCAGCTTACAGCTGGAAAGAGGCTTATTCAGTGGAAAGTTAAGGACTGCTAAAATCTATTTTGTGTTTGGGCAGAATTTTGTAATTTTGTAACTTTTTAACACAAAGGATCATCAATAAAATAATTGATATATACCCTATAACATTTAAATGGGGGAACTGAACAACAAAGGGAATATAAAAATGTATCAACTTAATAGAAGACAGAAAGGAAGAAAA